CAAAAGTAGCAAACACCCAGAGTTGACACCCTTTTTTTCGTATTTGATTTTGATACCACTCTATAACTGTATGATACTGCAAACCCTATATGATAAACACCTATGACTACCCATGTACTGTACAATAAATACGTATAAGTTATAAGAAAGCAGCGATTCAACTAAAGAATTTCACTTATTTTGCTGCCAATTGCCCACGCTTGAACTTGTTGTTTGCATTTTGTTGGCCAGACCTGGCAACCCTGGCTGTGAAAAATCCCCGTGACGCATGCATCTCTATCTCTTTGTCATCTCTCTCTCTATCTCTGAAAGCAATTTATGTAAAAAGAAAAAATGAAAAGCACGTAGAGCTATATTTTCCTTAAGTTTTTCCGCTTTTGTTGTGGCACGTTGAAAATATTTCATTTGTATATCAGTAAACCCAGTAAATAGCTTAAAAATGAGTCCTTTAAAAACCCAATCCCCTGAAGCTGGGACTTGTGTAAATAGGCGCCGATCAGCCGGAGAATAAATTGAAAATCACAAATCGATTACAAATGGTTTGACCCACCCCCGCACACACACCAAGAACACCACTTATTTAACACTACTTTAACATAAACAACCCAACCATATATTCTACATATATATACATATATATATATATATAAATATAAATATCTTACTATAATCCCTTGTATTTGTATCTTGCATAAGTGAAAGCATCCAGTCTGCCTGCTGACTGAAAAAAAAACAATCCCATAACTGATACCCAAAAAAAAAAACACACAAAACAAACAAAACACTACCCCTGAAAAGCCTGTTGTTAGTTTTCACATTTCTAAATTTTTTTTTAGTTCAGTTCTTTGTTTAGTTCTCTGCTGAATTTACCCGGGGCCAATTGTTCGTTTAAGTCGCCAATTTAAAGTCAACTCCAATGATGTGTAACCAGGGGGCGGCTTGGGAAGAGGGCGTGTCCCACTGATGTGAATCTGTCCTTGTTGTTTGCTTGTTTATTGCCACCAGGCACTTGGCACTTGGAGCTCAGTGCTCTGTGCTCAGTGCTCCTGGAACTGAATTCCAGCTCCCGGAGACTGAGAGCTGGCTTCAATTTATTATTGACTGGCTGCAAGAGTTCTTAGACGCATCCTAATGAAGCGTAAGTGGCAAGCACTGCGGCAGGACCCATAACAATAACAAATACGGGGCAGCAAGTACAAATACAAAGCCAGTCGCCTCCTTGTTGTAGCAAAAGCTTATTTTTATTGCCCCAAATATATTGCCAATGTTGTTCTAATAGCAGAAACGAGCCAGAGCCACTGAGCTTCCCATTCACTTCCTGCACTGAGAGAAAAAATCCAGAGACATTCGAACTAAAATTCATAAAGAATGAGTAAATAAAAAAAATTAATACGTTTAAAAATTTTCAAATTTTAGGTAACATTTTTGTATACAAATTATTTTAGTTTAGTTTTTGGCCTTACATATAAAAAAAATGCTGGCAATGTTATTAAATAATGTAACAAAAGGTTTTGAAATAAAAACTCAAGGTAATATTTCCTGTTTTCTTATAAATCGCATATAAATAAAGTAAAAAAAAAGTAAACTTACACTTAAATGAAATGCTACAAATTTATGAGATATCCCACATGCAGTAGAATTTTTCTCTCTGTGCAACAGCAGTGGCACTAACAGTCGACAGTCAGTGGCAGTTACCAGTAGGCGAAAAAGGGAGTTCGGGGTTGGGACAATCGGCGAAAGGGGGCATAAAATTCATTGTTATGGTTACTGGGCATAAGTCAGTCAGTCGGCGAGGAGTCGGAGTGTTGGGGTGTCGGGGTCTGGAAGTCTCGAAGTCTCGAAGTCCCGGAGACGCAGTCGCACTCTTCTGGCCCTCATTTCGTTAATCAGCCCTCAGTAAGTCAGTCCAGCGCACATGATACTTATTACACATGCTACTTTGGGGGGGGAAACAGTCATCGTCGTTCATCCACTTGGGCTGAATTCCATTATAACCCAAGGGTGCACTCGGCCAGATTGGGTTGGTCAAAGGATTTCGGCTGCGCTCCTCCTCAGGCGGGGGATCGGCGTACAGTGCGTGCCGGAAGTGTAAGACATTTATTCGGGGATCTTAGAGGCAGAGGCTAAGAATTTCACAGGAGATATTTAAGCGGAAACGGAAAGCCAAATTAATTAAAATGCAATAACTATTTATTACGATACAAATCATTTTACTGGATATAAGGTGCTCCTTTGAACTTAGTTTAAAAACGTCCTTAGAATATAAAAACAAGAGATAAAATATGGTAGAAATTCAGAAAAATGAGAATTTAAGATGACAGGACCTAGCAGCATGAGCCGCACTGTAGCCTCCCCCCGGAAAACCCATCTCCCTGGCCTGTTTCTGTTTTATGTGTGCGCGCATTTCCCATTTTCTTTGCTCGTTTCGATTTCGTTACGTAGACACTTTCGCTTTATGGTTTTCCTTACTTTTACTTTTGATTTACGCCTTCCAAAGATCATCGTTCTGTCTCTTTCCACAGCTCACTCCCCTTTTCTCTCTCTCTCTCTTTGCCCCATTTTCTCTGTCTCGCTCTCTCTCACCCACTCTATCTGTTGCCCTCTCTGTCGTTGATATGAGATGTGTTTTTTTGTATAGTGTGTGTTTGAACCCGAGTCCAAACCCTGGAAAGTGCCAAACCAAAAACAGAAAAAAAATCTATATGAGAAAAACACCCAGAAATCCAAAAGTAAACGCCTCACTTAATGATTGACCTCTGCTAATTCAAATGTAAAAACTCTGCCAATTTGGACCCAACATCCCAACAGAACTCACGCCAACCAAACCAAAATAAAATATATATTTATACTGTGCCAATTGTGAACGTAATGCAAAAATCTGCCTCTGCCTCTCACCAAAATCACCACAAAACTACAAACAGCAAAAAAATACAATGCGTAATGCAGGATCTTTAAACCAAACAAAATGTTAAGCAATTTTCAAAAAGATAGCAACAACAGCTAAAAGTGTAACACGCCAAAAGCACAGGACACGAACAAACACCATGTCACGATCACGATCACGAGTTCACCAAAGTCACTAAAGTCACTAAAATCACCAAAAGTCACCAAAGTCACGAATCAGCATTAAATTAGCAAATGCCGAAAATAAGCTCACACACGCCAGCACACTAAGAAAACCAATAATCCCTAATTTAATCCCTTCCCGATTCTATTCTGGAAATCTCTGGTGTCTTTAATATCCTTATTATCTGCCCAAATGTAGTATAGTAATTCAAATTTAGAACATTTACCTAATTTGAGTAATACACTCTGAAATAAATATTGAATTTATAACTGAAATGAATTTAAATAATATTTGTATGATTTATTGACCTATCATGAATTTTTCTGAAAAATTGTATTGTACTTTCTGATCTTAACTGTTTAAACTAGTAAATTGATACAATCTATTTAATAATTTATGAAAACAATTTTTGTATTGATATAAATGAATTTATTTAAATACATCTATAATCGAAAATACTTTGACTACTTTTGAACAAATAGAGTATGATCCACGGAGATTTCTGGGCTCCCTTAGGACTAAATTTGTTTCCCAATATCACGCTCTGTCTCTGAATCACGTTCACGCTCTGTCTCTATATGTCACGTTACCTCACAATCACTCCGTCTTTATCCGAAACCCTATCTCTATCTCTCTCTACTCACTTTGGAATGGCCAACTAAATCGCCGTCGACTGCCAAAACCAAAGACCCATATTTCTCTCTATGTATTTGCATAAGTACACTCAAAGTAAAACGAAGTCAGTTAAATACCAACAACTAAAGCAAATGAAATTGAACTAAAGAAACCTAAATAAACCTACTTACTATCTATCTCTCTCTCGATCACTCAATCACGGATTCACTTACTCACCAAAAACAAACTCTGTCTGACTCTCTCTCACGCAATCTCACGACCCCACCCTTAAAAAAAATATACAAAATCCAAAAAAAAAAGCAAACGAAAAGCAAGCGCTACCGAAACCAAAACCAAACCAAAACAAAATAAAGCAACTACAAGATAATAAACCACACTTTCTATATTTATATACATGTATGTATCTCAGAGCTTTAAGTATATCGTATACCGTATATATAACAAGAAAGAAAACCGAAGTCAGCAAAGAAATAAACCGCAACCAACAAACAACTCCAAACTCCAAACTACAAACTCGAAACCAAAAACTCCAAACTACAAGATACAAGATACAAACGCCAGACTCCACAGCAACAATAACCAGTTAAACAACAACAACAGAGATCCAACAGAAACAAAGCAAACTATATCCGTACTACATCTATATCTTTATCTAACTGTATGCTAGCAGACCCAGATGTAATTGAGCTCGTTACGATTTTGTTTTTCAAAATTAACCAAAGCCGAAGAAAACTTAAAATCCCAAATACTTATTATAAAACTAAATGAAAATTGTAAAGCTAAAAAAACAAAAAAATGGTAGAGCTTAAACAAAATAAAAAGTATGGCCAGGGCCCAGATAGATGAGTGCTACTTAAACATCTATAGATCGTCTGTCTGGGCTGCTAAAATATACTAAAGCCATATATGAAATCAGAACATATTTAAGCCTAGAACCCAGCTTTGTCGCGCTATCTGTCTCACTTTGCCACACATAATCTCTCTCTCTCACTATCTCAGTTAATATAATATGCCTATATATAATATATATGTATCTCTCTCGCTCTCTATGTCTGTTTGTCTCACTCTAACTTGTGTATTGTGTTTGATTTTACCTAAAAACTAGATTAAACGTAAACCAATTTTCAACCATCTTATATAAGCAGTTCTCGTACATTTTCGCCACATTCAATTAAATTCAATTCAACTCAATTCAATTTCAAACTCAAACTCACCTAGATTTTTCACCACGTATTACCTTATTAAATTAACATTCCAACTACTTATGTATTCAATTTGTTTTTTATAATGTACTCACTCTCACTCGATCTCACTCTATCTCTGCTCCGCTCGCTCTCGCGTTCTCAACTTCACCACTCTACCACACAACCACCACTCTGCCACTTTACCACAAAAGACACCACTCAACCACCCAGATCACAGATCACAACTCACCACAAAGTGGCACCCAAGTTAAGAACTCACCACTATCACAGACCACTGATCACTAATCACTGATCACTGCAGTATTCAGTATTCACCTCTTAAAGTATGTCTCTCACCACAGCTCAGCTCACGAAACTCACCTCGCTAAAGCCGCCACAAACGAACAACCACTCCAAATTTCAATTCAACAACTAAACCACTCACTTAACCACTCAGCCAATCAATCTGCATTCGATTTTAAATCAAATCAATTCTGAACCAAGCCATTATCGAAATTTCACAGGTCTCTCTTCCTCTTAACTCTGTGTTTTCTTTTGATTTCTCAGCCATAACTAGTCAGACAGTCAGACAGTCAGTCAGTCAGTCAGTCAGTCAGTCGAGCGATAACATTTTGATAAATATCGATTAAGTGGTCATCGTTAAAATCCTACCTATCAGTCAATACAATTCTAATTCGATATCGAAATCTGCAGCGAACTTTGATTGGCTAAAGCAAAAAAAATCATAAATGGCGGCCAGAAATTGGTCAATTATTCTTCTCCGAAAGAAGTCCTCATCTCTATCGATCTGTAAATTATATATCCGCCACCAATGCAAAAAACAAAAAAAAAAGTCAAATCCGAAATTTGCATTCCCAGCAGTTCAATCACTTTTCGTTTCCTACACTTCTCTCTATCTCTTTCTATCTCTTGCTCACACACATAAAACTTAGTTTTTTGTTTCCTTTAGTTTTGTTTTTAAAACCAGAAAAGAAAGGAGTGTTAAAGCTAGCTGAGGAAGTCGAAACAATTGTTGTGACACCTTACTATACTTACCGGCCATAAGAAAAACAATGGCAAAGCCGACATGAATTCGAGAATTCTTCCAAAAGCAAATTGTATTTATTTCGCATTAATCTTAAAACTCCCTACTTCGCCTGCAACTTGAGTGATGAAGACATATAAATAAAAATTACATAAATAATATGGTAAAGAGAAAAACATATAGCTCTAGATTGCAGGCGAATGGGAGGCCCCAATACTTATTGATAAGTGAGTTAGCTAATTGTAAGGTCCCTTGAAAGCGGAAAAAAAAGAAATTGCTTATGAATGTACATAACCAGATATCTAACCCCATATGATAAAGCACCCGAGAGCAGTCCTCTCGATTTCATTCAGAACAGACATAGCAAACGTTTTGCGTTCCAGAGACTTATCTCATCATCCGTTTTCGTTTACCTCTTTTGGGTTAAATTTTGCGTTGGACTTATGTAAACTTAAACCACTGCCAATACCTTTAATAATAATGTTCTCCTTCTTCGTCCCCACCGATAAAACACGATTAAAACAACCACCCAACAAACCACACACAAAACACGATAACCACCGATAACGCTTCGATAACAACGGACAACAGGTGTCTCATGTCAAAATCGATTCACCTGTTTTTCGCCTGCACACCAACGCAACGGTTATATTACTGATCACATTCTCGATTGCTGTGACGACGCGGCAGTACGTAGGAAATCCCATAGACTGTGTACATACAAGGTAAGTGATCGATTATTTCGATAGTCCATCGATTAATGCGCTTTTTGCGATTGCAGAGACATTCCCGAAGATGTTCTCAACACATATTGTTGGATACACTCAACGTATACAGTGGTCGATGCGTTTATGAAGAAGCAAGGTTCCGAGGTGCCTTTTCCCGGAGTTCATAATTCACAGGGCCGCGGGCCTCTAACAATAAAGCACACAAAATATTATCAATGGGTAGCGTTTACACTATTTTTTCAGGTAAGTTCTTTTATACTTTAAAAAATCATATCCTTTTGTCCAAAGCTTGAAAGGCAAAAGCTCTGTATCCTGTGGTAGCGGAACTGTCTAAAAGCGATTGAAAGCTGGGTGGGAAACTTAATAGCACTTACATGCATTTTCTCCACCATCCTAAGAACTTTGTGAGCTTTTGAACTTAAGTAAAAAATGGTCTTCTCTAAGGATTAATGGAACTGCTATGTCTTAATTTAATATTGATTTTAAAAGTTATGTTTCTTTTTTCCATGACAATTATTGTTATAAAATATATGTGTACTTTATATGCACTTATTTACCTAACTTGGAAAAAACTTTTAGAAAGCTTTTTGACTTTTGATAAAGATTTTGAATTGCCCAAGAAGAAGCTAAGAAATTGTTTGAAAACTATTATGTTCTACAATCTCTTTTTTACAAATCAGAGATTTCGTGCGAAATTACTAAGGAGCAATCAATCAAGCTTAAGAGTTAATAGGTAGTTAATAATAATATGTAATAAGCTTAAAGCATTCAAATAATTCGGAACTTTTTGAGGAGTTTGGCATGGCAAACAAAACAGAAAACCGCATAAGAATATGCAAAAGAGTTGTGTTTTGCTATTTTGAATAATATAATATTGTTTTATTTGCGCTTTCTCAACATATTAAATCAAAATAGTCTTGAAACAACTTAAGGCTCTAATGTATTTGCCCAAAATATAATAAGCCCCTAATTTCAGCCTGGAGATTGAGCCGATGGGGGTACCCGTCTAGCCGATCCCTGGGGTAAATTCGGCATGGGGTCACCAACAATCAGCCACCAGCAAGAACAACTGACAACAGGCAACAATGACCTTTCGCACTTTTCGAGGCGTTGTCTCTTTTGTTGGCCTGCAAAACCGTAGAATCGACTGTATGATGCATTAATGCGGCACAGACGCTGCAGTTGCTCCCTTTCCATGTTGCATGTTGCTGCGGGGCAGCAATAATGCTGTTGCTACTGCCGCTGCTGGTGTACCGGAAAAAGAAGCCAGAACTATTTTGGGACGCGCTTTCTCCAGTTTTTCCAGCTCTGTGTGCTCTGTTATTATATTTTGTCTGCTCTATTTTTGTTAAAAACGAGAAAAAAAACAACACACACAGAATGCAATCGCTTGACCCCGTTTAAACCCAAAAACCGATGGGGCGGGGCCCTGTATTTTCCCCCCAATTTACCCTGCCCATGTCCGATGAACGTCTTTTATCAATTTTATGCGCAGTGTGCTTGATATTTCCATTAATTTTATTTATTTACGCCACCGTCCCGCTGGGCGACCGGGTGCTGAAAAAATTATAATTTATGTGGCGAGTGTGTGGTTCGAAGGGGATACCGAACCCACCTCTCTCGTCCCTCTCCCTTGACTTACCTGCCACCCCTGGGGAATACGGAATATATACAAGAGCTCGTTAAAGCGTTCTTGATATCCAATATTACAAATCATATTTCTTTCCGATCGCAATAAGAACTGACGCAACCATTTGACATCGCTCATAAAATCCGCGTGTGCGGTTCCTTGTCGATCATAAAATCATAAAGATAAAGGGGCAGGGGTATCCCCAAAAAAAATAAGGGGCGGAGAGGGATCCCAAAGGGGGCGGTGCGCCAACAAACCATCGAGCAGTCCATCAAAGTGTTTGTCGGAAACGAGAAACAACATGAAAGTGGCCGGGGAAACGGCTCCCCAGATCTTCATCTGCCCAATAACCACAAGTTTTATTGGATCACTATTCCTTTGTATCTGATTCGCTTTCGGCATGTCTTGTGCCAACGGAACATTTTAATTTGCTTTATCTTGCGTTTTTATATTCTGCTTCGAAAGAAATATCTGCCTTTGTCTAGGAAATAAGACAGAATTTAGAGGGGAGACTTAAGAACATTTTATAAAAATATTGTCAAATAATAAGTATTAAATAGGAATGAAACTCTATACGCAGGAACTTAAACTAAAAGATAAGAAATGATAAGGAGAATCCTAGCCTAACTGGTATACAAATTATAGAACATCACTAAAAATATCTGAAATATTTTATTATTTTGTATTAATACATATTATTGTGTAATTATTTTAGCCTCCAGAACTCTATCTGTTGAATCCCGAATTCTGCAATGACCTCTAAACACCAGAGACACCTTTTACAAGGCCCAACCCAAGAGATAATTAATATGTTTTTTGTTTCGAAGGGTCTCTCCTCCCTTCGATTCTAATGCATCATTTGGCGCTGGGCCCAATGGCGGAAAATTCGGAAAAGTGCCCATGCATTTCCCATCCGGGTAATGTTTTTCGGGTGCATTAATGAGGCGAGGCGAGGCCAGGCTAGGCTTTTTCCGGACATTGTCTACGCCGCTTCACTGTCTGCCAGAATCCCCGGGAAAATCAGGGCCAACAAAAAGAAAACACATAGCCTAATGGCCGAATTATGCAGTGGGATCCGCCATTGTCTCAAGACGGAGCATTTTTTTTTTTTGTGGACTGAGTGTGCTAGGCGACTCACGTAGTGCCTCAAACCAATTGAATTTTGATGGCCAGCCTCCAGTTGCCATTCTCAATTTTGAGGCACTTCCTCCGACCAACTCACACCCATATTTGTGGCGACTGTGGCAGCTGCCTAGATACAGATACAAATACAGAACGGGCTTCAAATACAGATACTGTTACAGTCGAGGAAGAAATAATAGAATATAGTGGCAAATATTTTGAATATGCCCCACTAGATCGAATAAAAAAATATACCATTTTTTGGTCAATACCCGTAATAAATAAATAAGCTATACAAAAAACAATTTTTAATTAGGTGCTAAAAAAATTATTTGTGGAATACAGATCTTTATTAATTATGAGCTTAAGATATTATAAAATACATATTTAATGCAATTTGAACAGATGGAAAAATGGTTTTAGAAAATCAAAATAAGCAAAATACTTAAATAGAAAACCGCAGTCTTATTATTCTGCGCAGCAGTGTGCCAAGGCAGCTGGTCGCGATGGGACAACTTAATCAAATCGGCCAGCGGATATGTCAGACAGTTTTTATGCCCACCACTCCAGCTGTGCCCGTCCTCATAAAACTCCAATTGATATGCCCCGCATGACGTCTAGGCGCAGGAATCAAAATACGCATAAATCCCGGCTCTCCGGCTCCTAGCCACGTCACATGTCCTGCCACAGGACAAAAGCTCCGACCGCCTGATTGCAGCAATAATGAGCGGAAATCACAACAATGCAGAGCGGAAACCCTTCACTCCGCCACTGCGAGAAAATTTTTTAATATTCCGGAAATTACTGCCAGCAAAATAATTGATATCACGGAAAATGGGCAATATATAAACATTTTGTTTGGAATTCAAAGAGCACTGTCATTTAGAACTAGCAAAATTCAAAATAAAATTTTATCTTCAAACCTACGATGTTCTTCGAAAAATATTTTAATGAGTAAATTACAATTTTATTCAATGTGCCATTGATATAATCATAAAATGCAATCTTTTTTAACAGAGAATTCTATTAATTAGGTTGCTTTCACTCATGAATGACGAGAATGTATTTTTTTGAATAGCAAGAATTATTTAAAATTTGTTTACTGTTGAAAAATGATAATTGTATATATATTTTTGGGGGAGTGTATTTTTTGCACTACCATCTCTCCAAAAATTTTGCAGCTCCAAGTCAGACTCCTTGTGATGTCGCTTCAAATCATTGGATATAGGGTCTTCGTAGCGTTGTCGCTTTTCGCCCTTTCATTGTCAGTCGCATTCTCATTTCTCCTTTCTCAACTCTCCTTTCTCCACACTTCTTTCTCCGCCTCGTTGTCATTCGCGAGCGTGCAAGAAATAAATACGAATATGTAAATAGTTTTCCCAAGTGCACAGTGGGATGAAAATGGATTTTTTCAGCAGAAACAGGAATATATTATTCCATTAGAAAAAACAATTTAGATTAAACAAACAAACTAAAGATTTATTAGAAACAATGCATTTCAAATGAATTTTTAATGGTTTTATGATCTTTAAACCCACTTAAGAGCAAATATAATGATATATCGATTTAATGACTTAATAAAAAAAAATTGTTCGAAAAATTATGATCTTAAATAGTTCCAAATTAAATTGGATAATTGGATTAGATAATATCAAGTAGAATTTGGTTGAAAAATTAAAAGATTTGTTTTGTTATTTTTCGTTAAATTGTTTTTAATATTAGACCTCATACATTTTTGCTTATTTTTAATTAATTTTGTCCCACTGTCCTAAGCAATGTTTTGATGCCATTCGGACTTCTAACTCGAGAAAGGGGTGCGGGGTTTATTTAGAGGCGTGAAGGGTGTCTCTAGGCCTTTTGTTTTAGGCTTTTGGGCCTGGCCACAGATTGTTGCAACTACCATTCTTGTTTATGGCCGGCGAGTGCAGTTCCTAGTCCACCATCCCCCCAACCCCTTCTCCATCTCCAATTTTCCGCCGACCCTTCGCCCCTAATTTCCCGACCGATTTTCCCCACCCACCCCCTTTTTTCGCCGCCGGAAGTGTGCGTGTCTCGCGAGCAGAGAACGTGTTGCTGCTACCCAAAAATTGAAATTGTTGGCAACTCAGAGATCTGCTCTCTGCATTTTCCCTGCTCTCTCTTTTTCTCTCCGTCAGCTGTGGCCGGACCATTTTCCGAGTGGCTTTTCTTGGCCAATGCCCGCCAGTGTCTGTTGCGTTGGCAAAGTGAACGCGCGCGTCTTTTCCTGCTCCTGCTGCTCCAAAGTCCACAGTCTCGCTTTTTGTTGCCCGAACTGATCTCGAGAAAAAATCCAAAAAAAAAAATAAAAACCTCAAGCCGAGGAAAAGCCGTTTTCCAATTACCGTTTTTTTTTTTTAAATTGCAAAGCCCACCGAACTGTTGTTGTTTTTTTTTACCAGTGAAAGATCGAAAAATGTGAGGTGTCCAGAGTCACCCGATAAAAATGTCGGCCATGTCAGACACGTGACCC